GTAGGTTCGGTTGATTGTGGCATGCCTGCTTTTGCTCTCCATACAGACTGATTTTCCACTAAAGCCTGCTGATACCTGATTGTTCAATACCCAGATGACTAAAAAAACACAAAAGGTAACCAGAAGACCTCACAGAGACAGCTTTTACTCTGTATATTTAGATGTTAGCGCCTTGACAGCGGTAAAAAATCAACATCTTTCTTGTGTAATGTTCCTTTTCTGGTCGATTTCTTTGCAAAGTGGTGCGACACAGTCAGTCCTTTGTGCTCTTTCAAACCCGCTGTGCCGAGGAACCTCCCAGCTCCCCCTGCTCTTCCTGTCTTCCTGCACAGTTTCCCTCCATATTAGCGATTGATGCTCTCCGTCTGTGTTCTGAATTGTGGGGTTAAATCACGCTGTGTGTGATTCACCCACAGTGTGACTGAGAGGTCATCACTTCCAGCCTGCCAGACTCTGCAGGGCCGCGCTACCTCCCAGCCTGTAATTATCTCCACTAGCAGGCCTGTGTTTCTCTGTGTCGCTCTCTGCCTGCACTCTAACACACAAATCGGATGATTACTGGATGTTAACATTGGAGATTACACTGCTGAAAGGGTGAGCACAGCAGGGGGTTATTTGGAGGGGGATGCAGAATATTGAAAAGAAACAAAGAATACATCCCAAAAGCTTTACAGAGAGAGGGGTGTGGTGTGGAGAGGGTTCAAACTACGGAAATCTGCCTTCAAACTGTATCCAAGCGCCATCATTTCACATAAACTGGTGCACAGAAAAGAGGTCTCTTACCGTGGTTGGATTTGGAGGTGTGGACCGGGGTGTAGTGGTTCTTGGATGAGGTTCTGACTGGTGTGTTGTCTTTGGGTGAGCCGTTCATCGCTGCAAAGTTCTCACAGTCATATTGTGATATAGGGATAGGCCCCTGTTGCCTCAGGATGTCTGCAAGGGCCCTGAAACCGACAAAAAACAACACAACCAGACTGTTAGTGATGCTCTGCCTCCTCTGGTAAGGTTTCGTCTCTGAGTGCAGCTGAACTGAGGGAAAAAAGAAGTGAAAGCTCGCCTGTTTTCTGCACGCTAAGTGTCGTGCTCTTATGAGTGATTCCGAGCTGCTCTGTGTGGGAACACGATGGATGATCATTTGCAAGAGAAACAACATTAGATGTGTGAGAGTATCTCTCTTCTCTAATTGGGATGAATTTGGATGTTCTTTTTTTTTTCCTTTTTTTTTCCAGATTGCACCAGGTGCATATGGAGGAAGGAGCCCTCGAGGGGGGAGGAGAGGGAGAAGCAATCACGATGAAAGAAAGTTCAAAAAGTGTTTGTCTGAAAAGGAAATTACTTTTCCAGCTCTGCAGCGGCTCATAGCTTCGGAACGACAAATGTATCTGCGGTGTAACCTTTGCTTTTAAATTAATATTTTAGCCTTAACCCTGCCCCTTTGCCTCCCCCAATCCTCCCCTCTCTTCCTGTTACTTATTGAATGTGCAGCAGTGCATGCATGTCACCCGACCTTGATACAGCCCCAACGTTAACACCATCCATTATTCACAGTCTTAAGATTGCTCAAGTGTTGAATAATGCATCCAATAAAAAAAGGCTACTCAATCTTGAGGAAATAATGTGTGTCAGCGTTTGTTAACTGATGTGGGAAGAGTTTACTACATGTGGTCCACTCATGGATGAGAGCTCTCAGATGGAGACGCCGCAGGAGGAGGCAGGAGCCAGCTGAGGAGGTGGCTGAGGCGGCAGAGGCTCGCCACCTCTGCAAAACACTCGGGCGAAATCCCCACCTGAACCGGCGGACAGATGTGTGCCGATGTTCAAAGGGTAGGGCGAGGGATGGCAAAGGATTGTGGGAGAGATGTTTGACAGCTGACTTGACTGCAGCATGAGCCAAAGATCGGAGTCGCACTTCGATTCAGACACCATTTTTCTCCTGATTTCTCCACAATGCAGGAGTGGATCGATACAGAAAGAGACATTTGTGTTATGGAAAGCATCGCTTTTTCTCTGCATCGTCGGAAAGATGAGTTTATTAAACTCTGGAGCAGATGGGTCAAATATGAAAGGCCCCTTGTGGAAAGATTTTGTGCAGGTATTAAATGAATCACCCTGTTATTGTGTCTCATTTGAACAAACCTCATCGATTTTCCTTTTATATTCTCTCCAGCCTCTCCCTGACGCTCTGCTCATTACTCTTGTGTGCACACTTTACCTCTTCAAGGATGTATTCAGTGCTTGAATCTTAAATATCTGAGCATGGCGGGGGAATGAAGAGGTTTTTGTCCCTTAGAATAAAGAATTTCAACAAAAGGCCCATCGTTTCTCTCAGCTTCATGGACCAGAAACAAACAAACAAACAAAAAAGATTTTATCAGCGATATAAACTAAAAAACATCCAATACGAGTGTTGGACATCAGTCCTTTACACTCCCACACATAACAGATGCACACACTTACACACACTCTCTCTCACACACACACACACTGACTGAGCAGCACTGTAACCGCTCTCTTTCAACTCCTCCGTAATTATTTTAGGCTGTGGGTTTGAACATCTGCTGCAGATCGAGATAGAATCTGATCTGAAACATGCTTATCAGTTTTAGGCTTTAGATAAGGATCTGCTAATTAATTTAAACACATTAAAGTCTGATTTTCAGTCCATTAAAGTCCTGTGTGTGTTTGTGTGTGTGTGTGCAAGATCCTCGCGATATCGCACATATGACTCGATGCAGAGGTTACGATTCAGTGCGTTATATACATCCCAGTTTTTAAATCTTACCTGAAAGAAACTGGAACAAAGAACACAACACCAAAAGCAATCAACCTAAGTAAAAAGGGGTTTCTGTATGCAAGCAGAACAATGGGATATGCATAAACACATTACTGTACTTGAAATGACAAAAAAACATCTTACTGTTTTCGTAGTTTTCATTTACATACATCATACAGATCTGACATAGAGATCTCGAAACTCTTGACACCGATGGGACGAATGTTCATCAGTGTAACGGTATGGATCGTGAAATGATAGTTAATTTGGACATGTTAAAGACGAATTTTCAGCTTATCCAAGTCCTGTGTGCACGCAGGATTCTAATGGTGCGATACAATACAGTTTTAACACGATACTATACGATACGAACGATACGATATGATGTATGATTCGATACGATACGATACAATACGATACGATACAATACGATACAATACGATACAATACGATACAATATATGATTCAATACGATACGATACAGTATGGTCCGAATTAATTCTAAATCATTCGAAGCAGTATAAAATGATACAATACACCACACTACTTGGTGCATGATGTAATATCATTCTATTCAGCACTATGCAAAACGATTGGATACAACAAGATACAATATGATACAGTAATAAAAGATAAATTTCAAAACAGTACAGTAAGATAATGTACCATATGTTCTTGGGGCAATGATAATCCATCATATTTAAAATCTATTAAAAGTCTTTGTTAAAGAAATAACACAAAACTGATTTTCTAATGCAAGCAGAGCAGCATTTGTCTCGTACCGAGTAAAATCTTATTGTGTATTTTAACTAGTGCTGATTTCCGATAAGTCCAAAAACATCCTCACAAATGATTTTTAAACACACATGATACATATCTGACATTGGAACTGTATTTCTCCCAACACTGTTCTGAAACGTACTCATCAGTTTTAGGCTCAAGATGAGAATCTGCTGATCTGCTTAGACACACTGACGTCTAATTTTCAAGTCATTAGAGTCTCGTTTAAGATCCCGACGATGCGGTATGCATCTCGGTTCAGGTGTCAGGTTTCAGCATGTCCCAACAGATCAATATATATAAATCTTATTTAACACAAAGTGGAACAAAGAACATAATATTGTTTTCATAAAATCAGAGTAAAAATCAATCTTAGAAGAAAAAGTTAAATCTTTGTATTTGAACTCCTAGTAAAAATCTAATACACAGTTTCTTTAGACTGCTGCAGTGTCACAAAACATACCTGGATATGCCAGAATGTATCATCGTTTTATACACTTGCAGTTTACGAATCAGGTGTGAGAGAAACGTAACACACTGTATCATGTTGCATGAGACTTAATGCTTTAAATACTCCATTTCTGTCATAAGTGTTGACCTTTGACCCCTGTCTGCAGAGGGGGCTGTATGTTTGTCACCACCATGTATATTTGATGAGAAGCTTAGAGGGTTTTATCTCGTTTTCATGTTATTCGCCTTCATATAGAGGAAAAACAAGCAAATATTTGCCATGCTCACCTGTGTATGTTCATCTCCTGAGGCGGCTCTGTGGCTTTGTCGTACGCCACTTTGACGGACACCCCGAGCACTATGATGAAGGCTATGATCCCACAGGTGATGTAGACCGCCGTGTTGGTCTGGTCCATGCTGGGATCGTATGTCACCCCGGTCGGGACGGGGGATGGGGCAGCCGTCTGCACCCACACCGGGGTCTGGTAGTTCCTGCAGGCTTTCTGGTCCAGCCGGTCCTTCTTGTACTCGCAGCAGAAGCGCAGGTAGCACGTGCCGCAGCAGTACCGGTGGTCCGTGTTGTTGCACTCGAACATTTTGTCATACTGCCCGCTCACGTCGTAGTACCCCAGGCAGGTGTCGTGGTTGCTGGCGGGCGCGGGCTGCGGGGTCTTCTGCGGGACCACCGTGGGGACCGCAGTGGCTTTGGGAGCCTTCCTGGGCGCCTGTTTGGGTTTTTTCCCGCCTGTAGCGGCGCTCAGCACGCTGAGGGGGTCCAGGTATATCAGCAGCAGCAAAAGGTGCCTTATCCCCATGGTAGTGCGAGAACTCAAGTCTGATATTTGTCGAAGACGCTTCAACTGTGTTCAAACATGCGACGGTTTAGTCTTTAAGTTTCGACACCGACTCTTCCCCTGCTCGCTCGGTCTCCTGCGCCGCCGTCATGCTGGAAAAAAAACTCTGTGGACTCTGCTGTCAAGGGCATTTCTTTGCAGCACTAGAGCCCATCGCGACCCGTCGGGGAGCAGAGGCAGGAGAGCAGCATGTCCTGGCCGGGAGGGTCGCTGATGGGTGCCCGGGCTCTGCGCGCTCTCCTTCGGATGCGCGGGGGAGTGAGAGAGAGAGAGAGCCGCGGTGCGTCGCTGTCCAAGGTGCTGAATCCAGGAGAAGACCCAGTCTGCGCTGCTCTGCTCCGGTTCGAGTGCGAGCTGGACCAACACATAAACCAAGAGGGCTCATTAGATATTATCCTCACGTCAGAGACACGTCATTAATTAATTAGCAGCCTTCAAATAACTTGACAGATTTGAGTCCTGCCTGGAGTCATTTCTGCAGTTCGCACGACGCATTCAAGTTGGTAACATGACACCTACACAGCAGAAATAGCCTCTAAATAGATTTGTTTCATTTTTATGTCAAACACCAGATCTTAAGCATGCTGTATTAACAAAACGACGTTTTCTTTCTCGTTTTGAGGATAAAATTCGTATCCAAACGGGGCATGATTTATTTTTCTGCGTATTTTTAAAGGGTGGATAAGTGAAAAAATGCGCCTACCTCAGTTCGGATCCCCGCTGGGGAGTTGCTCTCCGTCTGGGTCTCAGAAAGTGAGGAGCTCGGATCCCCTCTCCCTCCCTCTCCCTTTCTCTCTCTCTCTCTCTCTCTCTTTCTTCTCTCCTCCTTCTCGGCTTTCCTCCCTCCCTCCGTCTCTTACATCACTTCAGTGCTGGCGTCAGAACTCAGCCAAGTATCGGCAAATTGCAGCCCCCTCCTCTTCCTCTTCTTTTCTTCTTCCTCCTCCTCCTCCTTCAAGCAAGCAAGAAAGCAAGCCTGGTTATTAGCATTTACACTTTAAAATTAAACGACTCCGCAAACCTCTGTCCTGCAGAACACCTCCAGTCTCTGCTGTTTATCCACATTCCTCTCTTTTACAGCTGTGTGTTATCATGCCTGTAAACAAGCAGAATAAAACTGTAATTGGCTGTTCTTCCCCCCTGTCTCTCCCTCTCTCATTATTCCAGATAAAGTCGTTCATATCGGTCTGTAGCAGAGCCATGACACCTTGGGGATTATGGAGGACTGATAGGGCTAAATTAGCACTGAAGTGTGTTTCAACAATGCTGCTCTGAAATGAACCACTCCTACACACATCTCTATCAGTAGCTAGAAATTGCTTTTATTATTTTCATGTCACATTTCTTTGCTTTTGTCTTTCCACATGATTTAATCACCTTTAACCAAGTGGTGCCAGCACACCGGCAGGTACGTAAGGCTTAGTTCTGCCTTAGTTGGGGGGCAGTGAGCTTCAGTGCGCACCATATTTGCAACTCAACACTTTCCTATCACAAAGTGCCGAGGGTGTCTCGAGATCAGCAGCTCCACAGAGGTGAGGAGGCTGCGGGCTGGCTAAGAGCGGGGCCTTAAATCGCAGCTTTCTGCTCTGGTTGGGAACGCAGGCAACGTGATGAGAATATACAGCTCTTTGTTTCTGCAGACAGCAGGCTGTAATGATGTGGGCAGAAGAGCAGAAGTGAAGATCAGAGGAGAGGAGAGAGAGCCAGAGGACCCCAGAGGGAAACTATGAAAGAGAGCAAGTTGGAGGGTTTAAGTTTTTTCTCTATCATCTCACACTGACCATATGATTCACTGTTATTCACTTATCATTTCGCCACACATGATACCAATGAAGCAATGGTGAGATTCACAAGCCATGAAAGATATAAATAAATAAATGACACAAACAATTAAAGCTGCAAGCGGCAATGATCCAGCCTTCACATCTTGCGCACATTGGGGCCTGTAGCAGCTGCATAATGCGCAGCAGAAGGAAATGGTGCAATAACCATGAACCAAATGTCCTTGTAAATCCCTTCAGACTGAGACTGCAAGCCTGCATGTTTAATTTATAGCATACAGTCAGCTTAAATGAGTGGGTGGGACTCTTCATGACAGCGCATTAAAGAAAAAACGTAAACATTGATGGCTTATTCATTACTGTATATTTAGAAGTCAATACCAGGCGTGTCCAAGGGATGGCACTGTTACAATGACAAAATTGTATATGTATATGTAGATCAGCACAGGCTGGCACCAGCATCAAATTCGAGAAATCAGTAGTCATTAGTACTGTGTATTTCTGCGGATGGTTTGATGACAGCTTTTTTCACCTTTGTTGAACTTTTTTTTGTTTATTTATTTTCATTTATTTACGTGCCTCTGATGAAAAATCTGTTGGTACTTGACAGGGTGGCTATCCTTGAAGAGACCTGCAATCATGATTTCACCCAAGTTGGAAAACGTGTGTAAAAACAGCTGTGGACTCAAACACTGTGAAATGGATATTCCAGCGTAAAATTAATTTAGGGTCAAACACACTGCAACATCGAGTTAGACATCCCCTCAAAAGATGATTGTTGCCGACCACTCGCTTCTCTAGTTATACCAACTTTAGTAACGACCACATGATAGCAATAGACAGGAGTCTGAGGAGCCATAAACAAACCTCAACCAAAACGCCACTCTACAGCCACAAATAATGTTCAGAACAGCACCTAACTTCATCAACAGTACATATAGGGTCCCAGCCATAGCACTAGCCATCAAACATCTGCCTAATCTCTTCAGCAAACACAACTCACCAAACACAAATCACCTACTCTCTTCCAACAGCCTCTTGTTTGTAGCAAGACCTCAGGCCAGTCCATTACGGACTGCTGCGGGGTGACGCAGCTCAAGGAAGAACATTTATGATCATTTCTTCATGGAGAAGCAATCAGACCGAGACGCTAAGGCAGAGGAACTACCGCGTCTGCAGTGCAAAATGATTCATATGATGATTATGACTTCGAGAAAATGATACAGAAATGTTCATAAATGTTTTCCCTTGAGCTGCATCACCCGCAGCAGTCCATAATGGACTGGTCTGAGGTCTCACTACAAACAAGAGGCTGCTAGAAGAGAGTAGGTAAGTAGTGTTTAGTGTCTTTGCTAAAGAAATTCGGCAAAGTTAAAAAGATGTTTGGTGGCTAATATTATGTCTAGGACCCTATATGTACTGTTGATGAAGTTAGGTGCTGTTCTGAGCATTATTTGTGGCTATAGAGTGGCTTTTTGGTTGAGGTTTGTTTATGGCTCCTCAGACCCCTGTCTATTGCTATCGTGCGGTTGTTACTAAAGTTGGTATAACTAGAGAAGCGAGTGGTCGACAACATCCATCTTTTGAGGGGTTGTCTAACTCGGTGTTACAGTGTGTTTGACCCTAAATTAATTTTATGCCGAAATGATCCCTTTTATGCAACTGAGATTAAGAGCTTAATTACAATGAGTGTAACACAACATGACCACAAATGAGCATTGTACATGAAAAAGTTTAGATAGTGGTGGTCTGAGCACCATGCTTGGGGAGTCATGACCTGATGGGCAGCCCCTGATAACTGGTGTTTTGGAGGTGCAACCATTCATGTCTGATAGGTGGCATTCTTACTATGACAGAACTGTGAATGTAGATTAGCTCTGCCTGGAACCATCGTCAAATCTGTGTAATTTGGAAGAGATCAGATATTCTGTATGAAAGTTTGCACAATCCCAATTCCAATGAAGTTTGGATGATGTGAAAAACCTGAATAACAACAGAATACAATTATGTGCTGATCGTTTTTGACCCACTTTGAAAATGTGTGAAGAATTATGAAGTGCAAAATACAACAATGAAGACCTCTGACTGTCAAGCTACTAAAGCAGTCTATCAAGCAAGAATGGGAAGTCAACCTCCAAAGTTTAACAGTTGGTGTCCTCAGTTCACAAAGGCTGATTGAGTGTTGTTCAAAGGAAAGGTGATGTAACACAGAGAGATGCATGACCCTGAATCAGCTTTTTAGGAGCAAGTAGCAGCAGCATCAAATTAAAAATGTATGAATATTTGTAAAAAAAAAAAAAGTTAATCAATTTAAACATTAAACATCTTGTCTTTGTAGAAAGAAAGAAAGAAAGAAAGAAAGAAAGAAAGAAAAAAGAAAGAAAGAAAGAAAGAAAGAAAGAAAAAGAAAGAAAGAAAGAAAGAAAGAAAGAAAGAAAGAAAGTAAAGAAAGTAAAAGACAGAAAGAAAAAGAAAGAAAGAAAGAAAGAAAGACAAAAAGAAAGAAAGAAAGAAAGAAAGAAAGAGGAAAGTAAAAGACTGAAAGAAAAAGAAAAAGTAAAAAACAGAAAGAAAGAAAGAAAGAAAGAAAGAAAGAAAGAAAGAAAGAAAGAAAGAAAGAAAGAAAAAGACAGAAAGAGAAAGAAAGAAACAAAGAAACAAAGAAAATGACCATAGTGTGTGTAAATAGTCAGTAAAACTTGGTAGAAATAAAAAATAACTGAGTTAAGTTTTTAAACAGCATTCACAGTGTGTCTGAAAAACAAATGAGATGAAAAATGAATAATGACAATGTTGTCACAAATTACATAATTTAACATGCAGTGTTTGTAAAGTGGCTGCTCCTCTGTCCCACTAATTATTTGTTACACTTTGAAATGAAGTCTGGCGTGCATCCAAAGTTTGATTAACTTAAAAAAAAATCCACCTCTTAATGCACGCTTCATTTCAAATTCAAGGCCATCACTGCTGAATGACAAGTGAAAAATACAGTGCAGAGCAGATTTGAGGCAATCATTGTGGGGGGTTTTGTCTTTACTGGGACTCTTTCAAAGACAGAGTGTAGTTTTCCCTATCTTTACTCAGTCCACTCAACCAAACGGCTGAACAGTAATCATGGATGCCTATTTTACAGATCCGTAAACTGGTTTGTGTTTATGGGGTGTAATTTATGGTGGCCCACAAGTGGGATCATGCTGCAACAGCCTGAAGCGTTTCCATGAGGAGAAGCAGATTGCAAATTGAGAAATGATGCAAATTCACAATAATACACCGACAGAAACACTGCAAATGAAACGCAGTGTGCTGCACAAAGAGTAAACAAATACATAAACAAAAATGTGCTGCAAAGTCATAAACAATGCTAGAAAACACATACAGAGGAAAATGAAGGAACGTATGCATGACAGGATTTTGCTGTGATTTGCACACTGACTCCTTACAAAAACAGAGCTTATATAACCAGCAAACACTTCCATTAGAATCCAGTCAAAACAGTTCATGCTTGTACACCACAGAAGGTGTTTTAAACAAATTTTAACTGAAACCTTGTAAAAAAGAATACAAGAAGTGCTCAAAGGCAAGGGAGAGACAAAAATCAGGATCTTTCCAATTCTGACCATTTTTCCGCTTGTGTTTATTGCAGTTGAAATTCCCTTTGCGATCCAAACACCAATGCTCTTACAAAAAAAAGTGTTTCTGAGTCTGTGCAGGCCTTAAATAAGTTAGTTCAGCGGTTATATTTGGAGTGGATGACATACCTGTGGGAACTTGTTCACTCCTCACACTTGAGCAGAGTCTTTTGCAGGCTATAGTTAAGAGTGCTGGTTGGACAAAAATGGCAGAGAAGTACAGTTTTGGAAAGTCGATAACAATTGTGCTTCAGTTAGATCTGCAACGCTCACATTGACTTGTCCTGCACAGAGCGCGAGGAGGCAGAACACAACAGTATGTTTAAAAGTGGGTTTACGACAGGGCTGAAATTTCTGTTTGATAGAAAATACTCCTGTTCCAGTTTCACACCTTCTCTGATGAAGCTATCTTCTCATAAGAGGAGCAAAAGGTGAATGAAATGAGATATGTGCTGGTTGGACTGGATAGACATAAAGAATACATTATGAGGGATGCAAGTAAGATGCTTGTTAGACCATGGGGTTGGGTTGTCAAATGTATGAGCACTAAATGATGAACAAGCTGCTGGCACTAGACAGGTTCAGGAGGACTGCAACCACCACTGACGGTCACACTTGCATCCACCTTTCACTGAAAAATCCAGTCATCATGATCAACGCTTGTGAGCTTCAACCCAAATTAGGTAGAAATACAGCCGAATCAGCCACATGTCAATGTGTCATTTTACTGAGTTTAAAAACACATCTGTATGTGGTGAGTATATTCTGACCTTATAATCAAAAATGATCCGGTTCACTGAAATGACCGGTTTTGCCCACCACTACTCTTAACACAAAGAAACTTTTTATTCATTGTCATAATGTACTTCAGTTTTCTTTCTAAAAATAACTGTTTTTATTTTAATTGTTATCACCATTACTTTTTGTCAACATGGAGACTTGTTACATATGAACCAGCACACAATCTTGATCAAAAACTTAGGTAACGTTAAGCCGGATTATCTGAATAAGCACATAAACAAACCAAAGTTGGAGAGACGGCTTTTCTTACTCTG